TTTTTGTATTTTTAGTAGAGATGGGGTTTCACCATGTTAGCCAGGATGGTCTCGATCTCCTGACCTCGTGATCTGCCCGCCTTGGCCTCCCAAAGTGCTGGCATTACAGGCGTGAGCCACCATGCCTGGCCAGCTTTTTCTTAAAAAAAAAAAAAAAGTATAATAGCTATAAAATCTAAAATCAAATCCTATTATCATGCAGTACTCTCCCCAGAGATCTCATGGAAAATACTCCACATGTCTCTAAATAGGATGGCACAGTGGGCAGACTGTAAATAACAGCATAGAAATTCCTAAAAATCAGTTTACCTTTATGGAAGGTCTTTCTCCAAAGTACTAGGAGACTTGAGGATATCTCCTATTTTAGGATTCATGGGCAAAAGTACCCAAAGATCTACCAGACTATCAGGCAGAAAGTATGATGGTTAAGAAAACAACCCTGGCTGGGCATGGTGGTTCACACCTGTAATCCCAGCACTTTGGAAGGACAGATGGGCATAGGTTTGAGCCCAGGAGTTTCAGACCAGCCTGGGCAGCATGGCAAAACCCCATCTCCACACACACAAACACACACACACAAAGAAAGAAAATAACCCTGCTACACTATGGATTAGCTATGCGACACCAGGACAGTCACTGAATTCGGCCTTACTTTATGTGGTTATAAGGATTAATTATGTGACACAGGGCTTACATATAGTAATCCCCTCTAAAACATAGTTATTAATTTTATGCTAACTATACCCATAAAGAAAATGCAAAGAAAACTATGAGTTACTATTTTCATTTATAAGGCACAAAAAAATCCAAAAGTTTAGCAGAAGTTGTGGGAAAGTAAGTATTCTTACATATTATGGGTATGGCAATAAACTGGTATAATTAATAAAAGATAATTGACAATTTTCTATCAAAAATTTAAAACATTAACTCCTTTAATCCATCGATTCATTTATAGAAATCATCCTACAAATTTATCAGTACATGCGTAAAAGAATACAATATTAAGGATATTCACAAGACTAGGAACAACAAAATGTTCATCAGTAACAACAATGAGACAATATAATATAGTGGTTTATAGCAGAGATTGAAAAAGCTTTAATATATCACCATGTAATCAATCAGTGAAGCATATATTATCACCAGGGATTTTATTAAAATGCAGATTTTGGCCAGGCATGGTGGCTTAGCCCTGGAATCTGAGCACTTTGGGAAGCCAAGGCAGGTGGATTGCCTGAGCTCAGGAGTTCGAGAGCTCCCTAGCCAACATGGTGAAACCCTGTCTCTAATACAAAAATTAGCCGGGCGTGGTGGTACGTGCTTGTAGTCCCAACTACTCGGGAGGCTGAGGCAGGAGAATCTCTTGAACCCGGGAGGTGGAGGTTACAGTGAGTGGAGATCATGCCACTGCACTCCAGCCGGGGACAGAGTGGGACTCCATCTCAATAAAAAAAAAAATAAAAAAAATAAAAAAAATGCAGATTTTGTTTCAGTAGGTCTGGGAAGGGGCCTGGATTATGCATTGCTAGCAAGAACTCAGGTGGTACCAATGCTGCTAGTTTGAAAGCCACACTTTGAGTAGTAAGACTCTATAATACAGGCTCTGATAAACAGATTACTTGGTCTTTAAGTTCTTGCTTCATCATTTATTAACAGTGTGATTTGGAGCAACTTGGGTAACCTCCCTATGCCTTTGTTTCTTCATTTGTAAAACGGCAGTAATAACAGTACCTAAACAAAGGGTTGTTATAAAAATGAGTCAAGTGGGCCAGGCATGGTGGCTCATGCCTGTAATCCCAGCACTTTGGGAGGCCGAGGCGAGTCTGGATCACCTGAGGTCAGGAGTTCCAGACCAGCCTAGCCAACACAGTGAAATCCCATCTCTACTAAAAGTACAAAAATTAACCGGGCATGGTGGCACATACCTGTAATCCCAGCTACTTGGGAGGCTGAGGTGGGAGAATCGCTTGAACCCAGGAGGCAGAGGTTGTGGTGAGTCAAGATCACACCACTAGCCGGGCACAGTGGCTCACGCTTGTAATCCCAGCACTTTGGGAGGCTGAGGCAGGTAGATTCCCTGAGGTCAGGAGCTCAAGACCAGCCTGGCCAACATGGTGAAACCCCGTCTCTACTAAAAATACAAAAATTAGCCAGGTGTGGTAATGGGCGCCTGTAATCCCAGGGTAAGGCAAGAGAATCACTCGAACCCAGGAGGCTGAGGTTGCAGTGAGCTGAGATCGTGCCACTTCAATCCAGCGTAGGCAACAGGGAGAGACTTCGTCTCAAAAAAAAAAAAAAAAAAAAAAGATTGCACCACTGCACTCCAGCCTGGGTAACAGAGAGAAACTCCATCTCAAGAAAAAACAAAAAGAGTCAAATGTTTAGACAAGTGCCTGTTACCTAATAAGCATTCTGTAAAGGTTAGTTACTGCTGCTACCACCACTTTTGTTGCCAATATTATGAGTGCTATCACTGTTGCAGTCATAATAGTGGCTTATGCATATTGTACTTTATATCAAAATATTGATGTTTAAAAAGAAAAACAGAATTTTTTTTTTGAGACAGGGTCTCACTGTATTGCCCAGGCCAAAGTGCAGCAGCACAATCACAGTTCACTGCAGCCTCAACCTCCCAGGCTCAAGTAATCCTCAGCCACCCAAGTTGCTGGGACTACCAGTGTGCACCACCACACCTGGCTAATTTTTAATTTTTGTAGGCCGGGTGCAGTGGCTCACACCTGTAATCCCAGCACTTTGGGAGGCTGAGGCAGGCAGATCACCTGAGGTCAAGAGTTCAAGACCAGCCTGCCCAACATAGTGAAACCCCCTCTCTACTAAAAATGCAAAAATTAGCTGGGTATAGTGGCACGTGCCTGTAATCCCAGTTACTCAGGAGGCTGAGGTAGAAGCATCGCTTGAACCCGGGATATGGAGGTTGCAGTGAGCTGAGATCATGCTACTGTACTCCAGCCTGGAAGACAGAGTGAGACTCCATCTCCAAAAAAAAAAAAAAATTTATAGAAATGGGGATCTCGCTGTGTTGCCCAGGCTGGTCTCAAACTCCTGGGCTCAAGTGATTCTCCTGCTATGGCCTCCCAAAGTGCTGGGAGTATAGGTGTAAGCCACCGGGCCCAGCCCAAAAATGGCAAATTTTCCACCCAGACAGTTCACAGACAAATAATGACAGTGAGATTCTTCTAACAGTTTAAAAACATGGCCAGAAGCAATGACTCAGGCCTGTAATCCCAGCACTTTGGGAGGCCAAGGCAGGAAGATAGTCTAAACCAGGGGTTCAAGACCAATCTAGACAACACAGGGAGACCTATCTCTACAAAAAAATTAAAAATTACCTAGGTGTAGTGGCACACCCCTGTGGTCCCAGCTACTCAGGAAGCTGAGGTGGAAGATCTCTTAAGCCCAGGAGATAGAAACTACAGTGAGCCATGATCACACCAGTGCACTCCAACCTGGGCAACAGAAAGAAACCTGGTCTCAAAAACAAAAACGAAAAACCATGATTTTCTACAAATAATTACAAATAAATAAAACTTAGTACTGTTAGGGATGTAAAAAATCGGTTGATGTGCATGTTATTAGCAGCATAAATTAGCTCTGCCTTTCCAAAGAGCGATCTGGCACTATGTCATAAGTGCTATAAAAACCATTCATGCCCTCTGACTCACTAGTACTATTTTTTAAAATTATGTACAACCAGGCTGGGTGCAGTGGGGCATGCTTGTACTCCCAGCACTTTGGGAGGCTGAGGCAAGAGGATTGCTTGAGCCCAGAAATTCAAGACCAGCCTGGGAAACATGGCAAAACCCTGTCTCTACAAAAAATACAAGAATTAGTGGGGATGGTGGCTGGCGCCTATAGGCCCAGCTATTTGGAAGGCTGAGGTGGGAGGATGGCTTGAGCTGGGGAGGCGGAAGGTGCAGTAAGCTGAGATTGCACCACTGCATTCCAGCCTGTGCGACAGAACATGACCCTGTCTAAATAAAAAAATAAATAAATAAAATAAAATAAAATAAAATAATGTATGACCAAATAAAAATGCAGATGAAAAAATAAGCAACTTGAAATATTTATAGAAGCATTTATTTAGGGACAAAAGACTGAATACAACTCAAATTCTAATTAAGAGGTAATAGCAGGCCGGGTGTGGTGGCTCAAGCCTGTAATCCCAGCACTTTGGGAGGCCGAGACGGGTGGATCACGAGGTCAGGAGATCGAGACCATCCTGGCTAACGCGGTGAAATCCCGTCTCTACTAAAAAATACAAAAAACTAGCCGGGCGAGGTGGCGGGCGCCTGTAGTCCCAGCTACTCGGGAGGCTGAGGCAGGAGAATGGCATAAACCCGGGAGGCGGAGCTTGCAGTGAGCTGAGATCCGGTCACTGCACTCCAGCCTGGGCGACAGAGCAAGACTCCGTCTCAAAAAAAAAAAAAAAAAAAAGAGGTAATAGCAGGCCAGGTACGGTGGCTCACACTTGTAATCCCAGCACTTTGGGAGGCCAGGGCAGGTGGATCACTTGAGGTCAGGAGTTCGAGATCAGACTGGCCAACGTGGCAAAACGCCATCTCTGCTAAAAATACAAAAATTATCTGGGCGTCGTGGCGCATGCCTGTAGTCCCAGCTACTCCGGAGGCTGAGGCAGGAGAATCGCTTGAACCCAGGAGGTAGAGGCTGTGGTGAGCCAAGATCGTACCACTACACTCCAACCTGGGCAACAGAGCAAGACTCCACCTCAAAAAAAAAAAAAAAAAGGGGGTAATAGTGTATTATAGCGTATTCAAATGGAGGGTGAAAAAAATAAAACTATAGTATGCCAAAAGTTGGCATATTTAATTCTGAGCAGCCAGCTTTTAAGATATTCTAACTCCATGGATATAATTTATTTGCTCAAGTAGAACCCACCTCCAAGACATATGTGAGTCTTAAATGGAAAGGGAAGAATTTAGATGGCAAAACAATCCAATATATACAGAAAAGAAAAACTAATGCCAGCCACCAAATAAATATATAGAGGGACAGCTATTCTATTCAGGGCTACATCTCTCAAATGACAAAAAACATGCTGTTATCATGATACTGGGCTCTGGAGGGAGGCAGGCAGGTCTTTTGAACCTCTCTGGAAAGGAATTTAAGCCTTTCTGCAAACAATTTATGCAGAGACTAGTGAAAAGGACTGATGAAAAAATAAACCCTAAACTAGTATAACATATCAACTCAGAAACTATGATCCTAAAAGAAAGTAATTATATAAGAAAAGGCAATCTTTTTTTTTAAAAAAAGCTAATTTTAGGAAGAGCTGAAATTATTATATTAAATAAGAGTTTAATTAAAATGGCATGATTCAGAAAATACAAAAGAATTTGTGACTAAGTCATATGAATGTCAAGTTGAGGTTTCCCTTGGATGAGGATAAGCCATTGTTCAAATCACTTTTTCTAAGCCTAACTACTAATTAAGAGGCAACATCACTTATGAAAGCTTTCAGCTATTTTTTTTTGTCAACTTACTAAATATATTTTAAGCCAAAATAAGGTTTTCCCACATGACAAAATGAAGGCATTTTTTGGTGTGTAAAACATAACCTGCCTAGAAGTGTGGCACTATGATAGATGTCTTTATAAGCACTATGTTTACATACCTTTGCTGAAATTGCTAATGTGCAGGCAATACCCAGCTCTCCACCTCCAACCACAGTAACTTTATTGACTGTTTTATTCTCATGATTTGCCCAGCTCTTTGAATTTATACCTGAAACACCTAGAAAGAAAAGTGAATTATCCTGAGAATTCAAAAATATCAACATTTTTTTTAGGATCTTTTAAAAAAATATATAGCAGGCTTCATAGCTTAGAGAGAAAATATGGTGCTACTCCATAATGGGCAAAAAATACTACTGAACAAATGAATGCAAGGAAGACAGACGTCTCCTATTAAATATTCGACTAAATAGAAATTATCCTTCTAAAGAGAACGTATCTTTGTAAACACTTTTAAAATATATAAGACTCTAAAAAAGTAGGATTTCCATAATTCTGAAAAATATTCCAACTCATTACTCTGGTCTACAATAAAAAAATATGTCTAACACCTTACCAAAATGTTTCAAACATAGGCATTTGCTTTCATCCTTAATGAGAATCAAGAAGAAGCATAGATATTCTGGTCCAATATACTGAATAAGCCAACAAGCTACATACACATATCATGAAAAAAGGTTTGGGATCATTAACATATGTCAAGTGGTTTTGAACAATACAAGAATTGTTTTATCTGCTTAACACTAATTCTTTACACTTTTAGAAACCTGGCCAGGCACGGTGGCTCGTGCCTGTAATCCCTGAACTTTGGGAAGCCAAGGCGGGAGGATCACCTGAGGTCAGGAGTTCAAGACCAGCCTGACCAACGTGGCAAAACCTCATCCTTATCAAAAATACGAAAATTGGCTGGGCATGCCTGTAGTCCCAGCAACATGGGAGGCTGAACCAGGAGAATCGCTTGAACCCAGGAGGCAAAGGTTGCAGTCAGCCCAGATGGTACCACTGCACTTCAGCCTGGGTGACACAGCAAGACTGCATCTCAAAAAAATAAACAAACAAATAAAAAATATTTATTGGAATTACATGGTAATATCCTATGATAGAGGCAAAGGAATTTCTTTCTTTTTTTTTTTTTTTTTTAGATGGAGTCTTGCTCTGTTGCCCAGGCTGGAGGGCAGTTGTTCAATCTCAGTCCACTGTAACCTCTGCCTCCCGGGTTCAAGTGATTCTCCCACCTCAGTCTCCCAAGTAGCTGCGATTACAGGCACCCGCCACCACACCCAGCTAATTTTTTTATTTTTAGTAGAGATGGGGTTTCACCATGTTGGCCAAGCTGGTCTCGAACTCCTGACCTCAGGTGATCTGCCTGCCTCAGCCTCCCAAAGTCCTGGGATTGCAGGGGTGAGCCACCGTGCCTGGCCTGAGGCACAGGAATTTCTTATTTCAAAAACAGATGTACATATGCACACAAATTTATTTATAAAAATCAAGTGGCAGAAAGTAAATTATTTTTGTGAGAAACTGGTAACTCATAACTCTCAAGACAGTCTGCCTGACAAATATACAAACCTTCAGTGATTTTTGCAATATAGGCTAGCAAGTCTACCTGCCGTGCCTCATCAGATGATGGTAGAGAATACAGCGGAAGTTCCTCTTGAAACTTGGCAATCATTTCTTTAATTAATCCAACAATGACAGATTTAGGCTGTAGAATACACAAAAAACAGAAAAGTTACACAAAAATTTTGCTGAACAATACTACCTTTGTTGAGGCAGGAGTATCACTTGAGCCCAGGAGTCTGAGTTATGGTTGCAGTCTGAGTTATGCAGTGAGTTATGGTTGCACCACTACACTCCAGCTTGGGCAACAGAGTGAGACTTCATCTCAAAACAAAACAAACAAAAAAACTGTTAACCTATACAGTCTTTTAGAGTTAGTCAAAAAGAAGTATTCAATCATGTTCTCATATTTTGAAAACCATCATACAAATTACATGATACTTTTAACTGTTGCAATGCTTTTCACTGAAAAATTATTGAATACTTTTAACTGAAAAATAAAGGAAGAAGAAATGCTAATTCAACATTTCCCAAAAGTAGAATAATAGCATGAATGTGCTTAATAGCCTAATACCTAGCTTTGGAAACTCTTTTTTTTTTTTTTTAAACTTTCATTTTGAAATAATTTCAGACTGACAGAAAAGTTGCAAAAATAGTACATATACTCTTCACCCAGATTACTCAAATGTTAACATTTTATCACATTTGCTTGTTTAGTCTTTCTTTCTCTAGTTTTTCTGAACTGAACAAGTAAACTGCAAACATGATGTCCTTTTACCCCTAAGTATTTTAATGTATATTTCCTAAAAGAGAAAAACATTCTCCTTTTAACTATTATCAAATCAGAAAATTAACACTGATAAAATACTATCTAATTTGGTACTATATTCTTTTAATGTAATTGGTTAAGCAACCTTGATGAAATTCACTAACCTGTCTGGGCTTCAGTGTCATCAGTAATACAATGTGAATAATAAATCCCAAATGGTTGTTATGAGTAATAAATGAGTCAATGAATGCAAACTATAAGCCGTGAGTGTAAAACAGATGTTTATTATTATTCTTAGCAATATTTAGTAGTATGCTCATTTTTAAAGTGCTTAATTTCTCAGAGTGTGGGTTTCACTATTTATAAAGTAAGGAGATGAGGCTATTAGGGCCAAGGATTCAAATACCTTTGGGGACCAAGCAGACAACATTATATGTGTGAAGCTGGCAAGCATAAGAAAATCTGGAGAGACAGTTATTGTGGCAAATTGGAAAGAGCATGCCGATAGGCATTCAAATTTACATTAAGAACAAAACAAAACAAGGTAAAACAAAACGAACTGTGCTGTTCAAACAAATTCTATAGGCCTAACGCGGCCCTCTGAATCTCTTGGAGAAACTGCAATCCCCGGCCTAGATGACCTCTAGATTCCTTCTAGCTCCAAAGTTCTATATAATTATGCTACATAATTATAATTCCAACTGCATGTGGAACTTAAAGGTGCTGCAGTACTTTTTTTTTTTAAGGAAAGAACATATTTGAACCACATAAACAAAAAGGTATTACATAAGAAAAACTAATGTAACAATTTATGTAACTACCTAACATATGAGCATGCTCTTATATCTAAAACAAAAAATAAAAAGGTAACATTGGTACTACAAATACATATTTGACAAGTGTGCATTAAAGAATTCTCTAATATAGGGTGAGATGTCACTATATGTGTAGTAGAAAGGTTAAAATTAAAAACAAAAACAAGGCTGGGTGCTGCGGCTCACGCCTGTAATCCCAGCACTTTGGGAGGCCGAGGTGGGCGGATCACGAGGTCAGGAGATCAAGACCATCCTGGCTAACATGGTGAAACCTCATCTCTACTAAAAATACAAAAAAAAAAAAAAAAATTAGCCAGGCATGGCGGCAGGCGCCTATAGTCCCAGCTACTCAGGAGGCTGAGGCAGGAGAATGGCGTGAACCTGGGAGGAGGAGTTTGCAGTGAGCAGAGATCACGCCACTGCACTCCAGCCTGGGCGACAGAGTGAGACTCCATCTCAAAAAAAAAAAAAAAAAAAAAGAATTCTCTAATATAAACCCATTTAAAATGTGGAGAATACTTTTTTAAGATACAGAAAACAATTGTTATGATAGGCATACCCACAATTCTTATAAAAACATGCTTGCAAGGATAAATCCACCTGAGCACTCATTTCTCAGATATACTAACGCTATAAAATTGTTAAGCACTGAATATTGCCACCTACTTTTGCAGTGTTTGAGTTTCAACAATGATTGGTATGAATTCTGAATTACACAATTAATTACTGTTATTTTTCAGTCTTTCTGCCATGTTGCATATAGAAGGCATGTATTTAATATGAATACTTAAAACAGCAACATTATTTGTAGCAAAGTCACTTCCCTGTGTTCATTTTTCCTTTAAAGGCACTGTATTTAGAAAATAGTTATTACAACAAACAGTGCTTTGGAAGATCTGAAACTCCAAATCAATGTGCTCTATCAACCATAAGTAGATCTAAGAAGCCCTGACTGAAAAGAACAGAAATGTAAAAAGCTGATAAATTTAAAGATTATAAAATTGGTTTATTGTAAAAGCAATTCAAGAACACCCAGTTAAAATCTTATCCCAATGCTACCCAATACACCCAAGAAGCAGTTAAGCACTTTTACATTAGGAACGAGGACATAAAACAAGAGACCACATCAAGGCTGTGATTCAAACTCAAAAAGGGAAAGGACTCTTTCGTCTCCTTCAGGTCAGTACAGAGGGCATCATAAGATCAAAGCACTGTGCCAGGTATCACAGTACGCTGCAGTACTTTTAAATAGGGCAATTTAAATAATGTAATATCTTTTTAAGACTAATTTTAAGGCGGGATATTGTGGCTCGCACCTGTAATCCCATCACTTTGGGAGGTTGAGGTGGGAGGATGCCTTGATCCCAGGAGTTCAATACCACCCTGGAATAATAGGGAGATCCTGTCTGCACAAAAAATTAAAAAATTAGTGGGGCATGGTAGACCATGCTTGTAGTCCCAGCTACTCAGAAGGCTGAGGTGGGAAACTCACTTGAACCCAGGAATTTCATGGTGCAGTGAGCTCTGATTGTGCTACTGCACTCCAGTGTGGGTGAAGACAGCATTACCCTGTCTGAAAAAAAGAGACTAGTTTTAGCTTATAATAAAGAGGCTCAGAACAGTAAAATAAAACCAGAACTGTCTAAACTAAACTTAAGCACAACCTTCACTAGATTATAAGACTATCCTCGAGGATTTACTAAACAAAATTATGAAAAGAGATCCCAATGAAAACCAGAGAGAAGAAACAGGATACGTGAATTCCTGCAACATGGTACAGATGTCACAAATACTACTCGAGGATAGTTTTGTTTTGTTTTGTTTAAAGAAGGGTGTAACAATGGATGGAGGAGAGAAACAGACAATTCAAAAAGGAAAAAATGTATGACGGATAAGTAAATGAAAATGATTTCAATTTCTCAAATAACCAAATAACTGAAAATTAAGAGTAAGATCCATTTTTGTCCTTCCAATTGACAAATTTTTATTATGCCCCATTCATCACATTTAACTGGCAATCTTATTTGAATCATCAGGTAATGCAAATAACATAAATATTCATAAAGTAAAATGTCAGCTCCTACTACTGATAATCCGAAGTATGTCGTTTGTTTTTCTATTTCTTTTTTCTTCTTTTTAAATGTTTTCTATATAAAAATATAGAAAAACATAAAACAAAGTAAAATGCATCTACAATTATACACCTTTTTCTAAGCTGTCTATAAAATAAGAAGTGATAATCCTAAGGCAGTCTTTACTCCAACCTCAATTGACTCCAACATACCCAGCCCTACTAGCTTTCTGGGTACATATAAACATATTATAAATAATCCTTTTATAAAATTTTTAAATTACTTACAAAAATGAGAGAATACATCATCTAAACCAATGTATAGAAGATAAGCAAAGGTTTGTTTTAAGGATAATACCTTCTATTAGAGAAAAGGTACTGTAAAATAGGTACCCTCCTACACGGATTTCTACTGATTATAGAAATGTATCATTCCGTGCACCCTTTTGGAGGCCAATTTGGTAATATATAAGAAAATCTTGAAAATATTTAAAATCTTTGATCCAATAATTCTACTCCAAGAGATTTATCATTAGGAAATTATCAAATGTATATTGGATATATACAAACATTCACATTTAAAAATGTTCATCATGGCCGGGCGCGGTGGCTCAAGCCTGTAATCCCAGCACTTTGGGAGGCCGAGACGGGCGGATCACGAGGTCAGAAGATCGAGACCATCCTGGCTAACACGGTGAAACCCCGTCTCTACTAAAAAATACAAAAAACTAGCCGGGCGAGGTGGCGGGCGCCTGTAGTCCCAGCTACTCGGGAGGCTGAGGCAGGAGAATGGCGTAAACCCAGGAGGTGGAGCTTGCAGTGAGCTGAGATCGCGCCACTGCACTCCAGCCTGGGCGACAGAGCGAGACTCCGTCTCAAAAAAAAAAAAAAAAAAGTTCATCATTAAATGTCTTACAATAGGGCAATTTGTAGATACAATATGTAACATCCTTATGCTGGATCATCAGGCAACTATTAAAAACCATGTATTTTGAAAATAGTTTTACATGGAGAAATGCTCAATATAACGGTCAATGAAAAATGAAGAATACAAAATTATATAACATGAGGACATAAAACAAATACTACAGTTATATAGATCAATGTGGATGACTTTTTAAAACTTAATGTTGGTTAAAACAAAGCATGTCACAAAAGATTACATACTGTATGATTCAACTTATGTGAAAGTCAAAAGCAGGCAAAACTACAAATAAATATATATTACACAAAAATCTGTAATAGGAAGGGACTTGGAAATAATGCCCCAATTACTTGCTAGTAGCTCTTCCCGTACTTTCTCAAGTGGGAAACGACTATAAAAAGACAGGGAGCAAACAAGAGTTGGCTCCAAAACCTGGAGGGAGCAGCTTTGTACAGGCGGTTGTCATCAGGGTTCTGGGACTTGGGCAAGCCTAGACAGCTCAATTTCAAATTAATTCCAAAGACCACATGAAGAATATCATTGAAAAAAAAATGCAGTATCATACCTATTTGTATTGGCAGAATCAATTATAAGTCTTAAAAAGAAAAAAAAAGCTTTCTGTAGAAAATCCAAATTGATCTTACATGGCTCCAGTTTTGGAGATAAGGCAAATATATTCTGCCTTGAGCATCCACATGTTTTCCGACTGAGATTTCCATATTTGCAGTTGGCTTCAAGAAGCAAATAGGTGGAGCAAAAGGGTGAGAATCCAAAATCCAGAAACGAATTGGTATGTTATATGTATTACCTATTTGAGACAAAAGAAACATATTTTCAAACAATAATAAAACACACACATTATACTTATGATATAGCTAGATGGCATTTTAAGAAATGAGTAGGCTGGGTATGATGGCTGAAGCCTGTAATCCCAGCACTTTGGGAGGCTGAGGTGAGCAGATCTCATGAGCCCAGGAGTTTGAGACCAGCCTAGGCAACATGGAGAAACCCCATCTCTACAAAAAATTTTAAAATTAGCTGGGTGTCGTGGCACACACCTACAGTCCCAGTTACTGGGGAGGCTGAGATGGGCGGATGACTTGAGCCCGGGAGGTCAAGTTTGCATTAAGCCATGATTGTGCCACTGCACTCTAGCCTGGGTGATGAAGTGAGACCCTGTCTCAAAAAAAAAGAAAAAAAAAAAAAAAAGAAAAGAAATGAGTAGTCTAGTCAGGTTTACATATAAAGGATTAATGTTAATCGAGGCCTATTCCTCCCATTTCATCCACATTCACATTGAGAATATGTTCCTTTTAGAGCACTGGTACAACACTTGAGTAAGTTTAATTACAGATCACAAGGTCAGGAGATGGATACCATTCTAGCTAACATGGTGAAACCCCGTCTCTACTAAATACACAAAAATTAGCCGGGTGTGGTGGCAGGCGCCTGTAGTCCCAGCTACTCGGGAGGCTGAGGCAGGAGAATGGCGTGAACCTGGGAAGCGGAGCTTGCAGTGAGCTGAGATCGCGCCACTGCACTCCAGCCTGGGTGACAATGGGAGACTCCGTCTCAAACAAAACAAAACAAAACAATGCCCAAATCATCCACCCTGCCTCTCAAAAAAAAAAAAAAAAAATCAAATTTTCAAAAATGTTTACTAATATAGCCAGAGTGGCAGGCCAAATCCTGATAAGAGTTGCTTCCTACATTAATCACTACACATTAAAGAAAAGGAAAGAAATGTCTATTGAAGGCCAGGTGTGATGGCTCACGTCTGTCATCCCAGCACTTCGAGGTGGGTGGATCACTTGAGGTCAGGAGTTCGAGACCAGCCTGACCAACATGGTGAAACCCCGTCTCTACTAAAAATTCAAAATGTTAACCAGGCATGGTGGCAAGCACTTGTAATCCCAGATACTTGGAAGGCTGAGGCACGAGAATCGCCTGAACCCAGGAGGCGGAGGCTGTAGTGAACCAAGATTGCACCATTGTACTCCAGCCAGGGTGACAGCCCAAGACTCTGTCTCAAAAAACAAAACAAAAAATGTCTATTGAAAGTATTCCCCTGGTTGATCAAGGATCTGCCTCCACCAATACCCCTCCCCAGCAGTATTCATGCATTTTAACAGCCCATGACTAGCAAAGCAATTGGTGACTCAGATTCCTGTGTCTAAATGGTAAGATTTCACCACTAGTTCACTAGTCTCTTCTTCCTTCCCTCTTTCCCATCAGCAAATACCTTGACTTCTACCCTGCACATCTAGCTTTTAGTAATTCAGCACTGAAGAGTCCAAACTCCTGACACAAAATCCTCAGATTTAAAGGAATTATATCATGAGAACGTAACTTAAGTTGGATGTAAACAAAGTTTAGATAGGTGTGATCTTAAGACAATACATTGCTAGGCCAAAATGTGCAGACAGCTTGAGTCCAGGACTTCGAGACCAGCCTGCGCAACAAAGCAAGACCCTGGTGTGGTAGTGCATATCTGTAGTCCTAGCTACTCAGGAGGCTGAGGCAGGAAGAATGCTTAAGCCCAGAAATTTGAGGTTACAGATAGCTATGATCACGCCACTGCACTCTAGCCTAGGAAACAGAGCAACACCCTCTCTCTTAAAAGAAAAAGATTATATACATCTCTAAAAAATGAGTGTTTGAAGAAAAAGTATCATTATGTCTTTTTTTTTTTTTTTTTTTGAGACAGTCTCACTCTATCGCCCAGGCTGGAGTGCAGTGGCACAGTCTTGGCTCACTGCAACCTCCGCCTCCTGGG